AAATAGAAAACAATGGAATTAGAGTGCATCAGGGTGTATAAGTGTAATATCTATTTCAAGAGTTTTTGACGATCAGACTTCATTAGAATAGAATCGTATTTTTAAACGTTTATTTTATTTAGTGAGATTGAATAGTTGGCATCACACTCTTTATCTATTGATTTCTCTTGTTCCTCAACTACATTATTCTCATTTTCACTCATTTTGTCAACATTTTGTATACTGATACAGCCACCTTGGAAGATGGTTTCACTTTATTGGACGTGAAAATCAATTAAGCGTAGCTAATCTTATACTAGAACCAGTAGYCGAGACTGCAGTCATCCGGGAACAGTAGGATTTAACGACAGGAGACKAGGCTCACCGACTGATAAACGGATCCGTGGCCCAGCCTTCTCTCCGGGTTCTCTGATGTGAGAAAAATAATTACATCGAGTGGATTTTAGTCGATTTTAAAACCTTCGTAGACATTTGAGCTACAATTTTCCTTCATTCTTAGTTGAACACTTAACTTATTTTTGGCGTTCACGTTTCGACGTGTTTTTGTAGCTCCTTGGTGCTGATACGTGGATAAATAAAATACATTTAAAGAAATTCAATGTTTTTCCAAAATTCTCTTCATTAAAAATAAGTTTACCACTACTTATACAGCTGTTTTAAAAAAGTTTAGAATAACGACGGAGACGCATTATGGGAATAAAAAAAAAGGAAGATTGAGTGAATCGCTCGCGGGCAGGAAATAAAAAATCAGCTTTGATGACGATTTGTTATGTTTCTCCTTTAGCTATCAATATCTGATACCCATACACCGCGGTCTCACTACTCATTGAAATAAGCGCTTGATATCGGCTGTTGGTGAACCGAATGCACGCCTGTTGAGCAAAAATGAGCTCAGTCACAAATGAAAATAAGGCCGCTCATGGGCGTAGGTCATGCTATCAGTCCGGTGGGCCTATTTTCTGGATTCCTGTGGAGGCGTACCACAAGAGACTATTTGGTCTGATTTCAGTTTGATCAAATGTAATTCTTCGACCTTACGCTAATTTTAAAGTAGATAAGATTTTTCGTTTAATGTCAAGTAACTCAGCGAATCAGTGGCTCTAACTTTGACACGAGTCAGGCACTCCCACGATTTTCACGCTCACGGAATTTTTGATTGCGTAGCACCAAATCAATTTTTTCAAATAGTCTGGACTCGAAATTGTCTAATTCGCTACCCGCCAGCGCGCGTGCCATGTACTACCTATCGGACTCAAACTGCAATGTGTAAAACGCCTACCTAATGTACTACGTAGATTAAACGTGCTTGCGCATTAAAATGTGGCGTTCGTACTGTTGGCTCTAGATAAGTTCAATGCTTCGTAATTTTTCCGTACATACAACGCGCGTAATACTCGATGTTTGACGCTAAAAAGTTAACGTTTCAGTAGTAATATAGCAATATAGCGAGTCTGGTTGCAGCAAACGTCTGGGTGTTGTTCAAGGATGGCCCACGCAAGATAAAGTAATATGTCCAAGCGTTGTTCTCTGTAGGTATTATAGTTATATAGGTTCTCTGTGGTCAGTTGTTGCTGTGATTATAGCTAAAGAGTATGTATATATTACGCTTACATGCTGCGTTGTCTGAGTGGATAAATAATAGCGTAAAAACCAACAATAAACATAATTATAATGATTTGCAGTATTGTCTGTCTAGTTTTATCAAACCACAATTCGCATTTTCGTGACAAAGTACTAAGTTTTTGCGATGTAAGGTTATAAAACGTAAAAAAAGTCCGCAAACCAAAATATTTTCTTATTAAGTTCCTGCCTTCTTGATTGAATAAGCACATCATTTCATTGGCAAAGATCTTATAATATCCAGAACGGAAGTTTTAGGTGTCTACTACTAATACGATAGATAAGGTGAATTGTTAATGCGATCAAGATTGCATTTGACATACAATAGTTACAGACATTTTAATGAACATCGTATATTTGTATAAACAGCTCTCCCGCTGTTCTTATAATAACTTCCCAGCAAGAAAACCTTCCATAATCTTGATTAAATTCTCTTTTTATTTTAAGCTTTTACAGTGGTGAAATAAAACAGAACTCCAACCTTAATCAGCTGAGGAATTGTAGCCAATGAGAACAAGCGCTTTGCAAAATCACGTGTGAGCTAATTTAGTATCTCGCATTCATAAAGAGGACTTTTAACTATTGCTCTAAAGCTGTCGGGCAAAAATCTATTAGCCTTGGCAATATACTCCTTTTTMGTTTCGTTGCTAGACGATTTTTCCGWCTGGAAGCGGCTGACTTGTTCATTAAGGAGTACTCCACCATTTGGAAGTGAAGTCAAATGAAGATGCGGTTGAAGTTGGGATCAGTTTTGCTAGGAATTATTACTTTTAGCAATGTTTTTTATACCTGCAAAGCATCTCGAGCTGCTGGGTGAGTTTTGTCARATGATTTTATAATTTTTGAGTTAACAAAAATGTTTTTTGACTGTTGACGTTTGCAAAATTGACGTAAAATTCCGCTGTTAGATCATGAGATTTTTAAATCTTATTATCAGTGTGAATTTGAAAGCCAAAAGCGCGACTTTTTGTGAACCCGCGAACATTTTTTTGCGCRCTCTCAGTTTTAGGTAAAAACAGGGCTTCATTGGTAAAAATTTRGTGCACTCGAGCTGAAACTTCAAAAATTCTTCGCATTTCTTTTTCATTTCTCCGTATTTGCTTYACAYYGGCTTTAGAATTGCTAATTTCAACATTTTGTSATTTTKTCATTTTTAAAACAATTTTTCAAAAAAGARATCTTTTTGATGATCTTCAGCTCAAGTATCGTTTCATTACAATTGCATGAGACACATTTGCTGATGTGACTTTTAATTTCTACGGACTGAACCTTAAACATCCCGTGAAAATGTAAAACAGAATAGCGAACCGTGTCTTTGATTGGTGAAAGCATTGGGGACATTTTTGAAGCAATATCCTTTATAGGGGAAAATCCGGTATGGCGTCCCGGTGATTGTTATCATAGAAAAAAATTAACCGATCAGCATGACGCTAGTAWCACAAATTTCTCCCACTCCAAATACCTACAATAATTCAAGAGTCTATMTCCTCTGAAATGACCGTGCAGCAATCACAACAGCAAAGGTCAAATATCACTAGCGCTCTGTTAAATTAAACTCTGTTAACTTTGCTTATCCTTTTTCCCATTTCAATTTTCGTCTCTAGATCAGCTTCTCAAGTAGTGACCTGGTTTTAAATTTAAATAGAGCTGAAAATTATCAATTATTGACTGTGTTTACATTACAGCAAACTATATTCTATAAAGCAAGAAATGGGTTATGATATTAGGGGTATTTATAGATCTGCAAGCTACCTAGCTACAGATGTTTATGACTGTGCTAGACTAATGTCGACTTTTCTAGAAGGAAGTGGGCAATACCATGTTCTAACTGGTTCGGCTCATGAAAAGTGTTTTTCTTTTTATAGAACAAAAAAAGGAGACTAATTAGTTGGTTATATATTAGAGTAAACACAAGGTTCCTTTTTTTCAGTTACTTGGAAATTGTCGGGAAAATGAGCATCGGACACGATTAATTATTTTTGTTATTACAGAAAATAAATGAGAATGAGTTTTAGACTGAATTTTTGAAATAAAACTGCAGGAATGATATTCTCCTATTCACTTTTCCCATTCTTGTTTTCATCTATTTATTCACTTTCTCGGCATTCATTCTTTTCATCTATTCATTTTTTTTTTTCATCCATAGTTGTAGACGAAGGGCAACTACTGGTAAACTGAATATGACAACAAGATCCGAAGCATTAGAAATAATCTTCAAAGGCTACGACAAGCATGTCAGACCGTATTCACAAGAAGGTAGGGCTAAAAAGAGGCTAAAAAGTATCAGCGAACAATCATAGTTAGAAAAGTCATATCTATTGATCGTTGTCACCCATTCCCATGAGATTCAAAAGATAAAAGACCGGCGGCCATGTTGGAGGAATGAACAATAGATACTAATGAGAAATCGTTTGTTAAAGTTCCTCCAAGATGGCCGCTGTGACGTAAATTGAAAACTATGAATACATCATTATATCCATTATATCCATTATTTACGATGGCAAAATCATTCTTGCAGTTATTTTCATTCTTTTTAAATCCATTATTCATATTAGCAATGATACTTAAACCCTTTTCACAATGACATCACACAGGATCCACACATGAGACCACTTGATTCAGTGTTTTAGGGACTTTGGGTCGCCAGAGGGAGACATRGTGGCGGCAAGTCAATTAAACGGAATTAAAAAAAACAAAGAAAAATAGAATTACCACTTGAAATCAGTAAAAACACTTTCAAAAATGTCGGACAATCATGAATTAAAAAAATAAAAAGTTGAAATTCACCTTACGAAAAAGAGAAAATTCTGTTCGATTCTGTTCCTCGCTCTTTCCTTCTGTAAAACCCTGTCCCCATCAAATATTAACGTGCTGTGACGTCATCTTTACATCTACATATATTATTTTCAAAATCCTGAGGGGATTTATGCTAATTCCCGTCAAAATCAGTGAAAACGGGAAGTTAGAATGCCTGTTTTTTGGAGAGCTAACTTTTTTTCTATTTTCATTGTCTTCCTTTTTCCTTTCTTCTTTCTTTTTTATATCTTCTGCTTATCTTCCAGGGAAGCCCGTCAATATCACTGTCAATATGAGAATTAATTCCGTGTATGAGGTCCACGAAGAAGAAATGGTAAATATATAGAGTGGTATCTACTGCATACATTTTTTGTATACATGCGTCTTTTTTTTTTTCTTTTTTTTTTTGTCAAAGATCTGACTAGTATCAATATTTTATAATGATTTCATGCAATTTAGTATGTTTTTAATCATTGTTATGAATTATTGCTTGATGAGCTGGACATGCTGGAGGCTAGAAGCATAAAACAAAGTGTAGCTTGAAGCAAATACTGAGTGAAAAAAAAACAACACTAATTGATTTTTAATATCAATGGTTATGGCTGCATCTATTCGTTATTGCTCTACAAACATCCCGAATTACACAAAAAATCTGTATACGACATTAAGGTTTATGTAAAATAAGTTATAACTTGGAAGTTGGAAAGCAGAATCTATTGATTTTCGATGATTCGTGATACCTAACAATTTTCACCGACTGCTAATGATTTAGAACTTTTAAATTAATGCGAAAAATACTTTTAATCTCGACACGTTTAGACATTTCCTATGCTATTTTCAAGAGTGAATATTACAAGTTCATTACTTAAACTTTACATATGCTAAATAAATGATCDAGACGCATTTTTCGTATATTTGAAAGTTTTGCTTAATTTGTGCTTTTATGACTATATAACTGATTTTAGTGATTTCACTTGATCGTCTTCAATTCCAAAGAGCCTTTGCGCACCAAGACTATCCCCAGTCCTAAACTCGATCCTAAAGTAGCAAACTAATAAGACTTTAACCAAACAGGATTATACCATGAGATTTGCATTTCGTCAAAAGTGGACAGATCCTCGTCTCAAATACAACGTGGAACTTACTCGGGGTAAGGGTCATCCTTACATGCAACTGGAGAGCGCCAACCGTATATGGTACCCCGACACATTCTTCATGAACGCGCGGTCAGCGTTTATACATGACGTCACCAAACGAAATCTGGGAGTTAGAGTGTTTCCCGATGGATCGATTTACATGAGCCAGAAGTAAGTTAGCTGATCAACGTTTTCCCGCCAAAAGCGCGCGCGTGTGCGCTGATGAAATCAGCTTCCCAGATTGCACAGCAAAAACCATGTCAGAACACCATCCAAGTAACTTTCTTATTACAATTCTTTCCTTCAGAATAACTGTWACAGCTGAATGTCAAATGGACCTGAGAAAGTTTCCTATGGAYACTCAAGTTTGCACCCTCATGTTTGAAAGCTGTGAGTACTGTCACGAACATTTTCATAGTATCCTTTTGCATTGTGCGTGCGTTGCGTGACTGTGTGATGGTGAGTATAGCGTTACTTTGGAGTACGGTACAACTATTTTCCACTTTGTAGCTTCTCACCACCACACCGCTTTTAATTTCGTAGTTGAAAGTCACATTTTTACTATTAATTGTTTCTTCAGTTTTCCACACAGCTGCAGAGATTGTTTTTAAATGGGAAAACACTGACAAACCTGTCGCCATCTCCAAGGACATGAACCTTCCTCATTTTGACATTGTTGCCTTGGAAACTAAAGAAGTAAACAATGTTTATAAGTCAGGTAAATATTCCCTTTTCCGGCCTTCCTTCCTTCCTTCCTTCCTTCCTTCTTACATGTAAGTACCTCCCCATTTCACAAATTCAAATCCCTTTTTTTCTTACAGGGAAATTCAACAGCCTTGAAGTACATATAACCTTCCAGCGTCGTCTGGGTTTTTACATCATTCAGATCTACCTACCCTGTGTGTTCTTGGTATTTCTGTCCTGGATGCCGTTCTGGATGGACCCTGGTGAAACCGGTGATCGACTTGCTGTGGGAATCACTGCTGTTCTTACTTTAGTGTTTCTATCGGTTAGTAAAATAGAATAAAAATAGTTCCTTTCTGATGTAAAGTCCCTAGAAAGCTGACAGTTTCGACACTCGTTTAATTTATATTTTAAGGGGTAGTACATCTATGCATATATAAAAGCAAGCAAGCTGTWTAAACAACAATTCCATATATTTTTCCTACTCTAGGGGGCGATGAACAACAAGATGCCCAAAGTGTCCTACATGAAAGCCATCGACTGGTAYGTCATTGCATGCTTCCTTGCTATGGTCCTGTCRTTTGTGGAGTCCATGGCAGTATTCAGGGCAGGTGAACACAACCAAAAGAAAGAAGCAAAGGATGCAGAGGACTGGGGTGTTCCCCTTACTAAGCGGATCATTGATAATTCAGTAAGTTTACATATATATATCTACAGTAGAGTACAGACATTAAATGTGTGCAACACTTTCCACTATTTACTACAAAATAGTGTTAATTAAACAATAGAAAACAATAGAATCAGCATGATTTAGCAGCATTTAGTGGTATTTATGTTGCACAGTTTTAGTGTTTGTACTCTAGTTTGCCAAACCCATGCAATACACTTTAACATATTACCCTATAGTTGTTGACAATAAGACCACACAGTCTCGTGCAGTGACCACGAGCTAGAGTTGATTGTCCATTCGGTCGTTTTTAGTATCAACCAAACTAYAATGCAAATTTGAAAAAGAAACTTAAAAAAAATTCTTTCTCGACGTTTTTCGACTATTTTCGCCTCATTCGATGCGATCATGAATATACCATAGTTTAGTAGCTAAATATCAGAAGTGCTGGATTTAATTATAAAGACTATGGTTTGATGGATACTTGTACCCTTTATTGTGAAGGTTATTCTTTGTATTTTCAATTTATTACTAGAAGTACATATGTACTTCTGCTATTACACATTATCACGACTTGACACTAACACTGGTCAATGTATCAAAAAGAAAAAAGGAAAAATACATAGATACCGAGAATTACCGAAATTGGAAAGTGAACGAAGAACTTCTTTTATAACAATAATAATAGTTTATTAAAGTTCTTTTGCAATATTAAAAAACCCGAACTATTAACAATGGGAAAACTGAATTATTACAAATTACAAATTATTCACTATACATCTAAAACTATAATATACAAAATATAGAAATTTATGCTTTATTTAAAATATCTAAAAATGAAAAGGTTTTCTGCTCTTTTGGTTTTGCAAGAAGTGAGATTGTTATAATAATAAACTTGGCCTTGTTTAGATCTTAGGTTATAGCTAATATTCCTAGTATGACTTTGAGGTAGTAGCATATTTAATGGGTGGTTTTCGGATTTAATTTGAAAAAGGAGTTGATCACAAACATATACCTTTACCATAATCTTTATTTTTTTACCATAATGGCCGCCATCTAATTAACATAAATTTTTAAAATTTAGAATTTTAGTCAAAGTAAACTAACAGCTGATAGAAACCTGTGCTAATGACAACATATAAAAGTTTGAAATTAAAATATTACATTCTGGTGAAGTTATAAGGATTTAAAATATATTATAACACCAGAACGAGGCTATAAAGGCCTTGGCTGAAAATTACATACATTTCTTCAATTTTCATTTGCCCATAAATTTGTTCGCATTTTTTAATATCCAGGGCTGCAAAACTTTCCAAAAATGTTTATTTCTGGTAGTTCATTCACATGAAGGTGACAAAGTTTTCACATATTTCATATTAAGAAACAAATAGACAGACAGCCATTGGTGGAAAATTACATACATTTCTTTATATTTTCATTTCACCATAACTTTTTGCCCATTTTGTCCAGAGTTCTAAAACGTGCCAAAAACGTTTATTTCTGATTGTTCTTTGATGTTACAGTGACAAAATATTCATATCTATTTTATTTTGGAAAAACACAATTGCAGCCATTATGGTAAGGGGTGTATATTCCACCTGCACTCAACCAACTCAAAACAAATCTAATAGCAAAGTCCAATGTATCGTTGTTATTAATGAGTYATGAGATAGCAACTGTGACCGATCGGTACAAGGTCGAGTGCGAAGGTAGCCATGTTCACTTGTTTCAGAGTTCTAATCCAAGACTGTCCTTATTGAAAGTGTGCTGTCTTGGTTTTTTATCACCATGCACGCAATAACGGACCTGAAGGTAAGCCACGCGAAGGACTGTCATCACTTACCGTAACTACAGCAGAATAGAAWATGCAAATGACTTTTCATAAGAAGGCAATGGTTATTACTGGTGCGTGAATYTTCAGCCCTGGGAATCTTATCGAGCTTGGTCACGAAGACACCATTAATGTTTCTAAGGGTGTTTAATTTTTTGCGACGCATCTTTTGATAACAACAACAACTATCTACTACTGATCCCAAACTACTTGCGGTCATCACTATAACTACTTGAGTTCTTTGTTATCATGCAAGGTTGCGCTCGCTCTTTAAGGATTTTAATTGATAGCTACGTATGTAAATGCATCTTTAGTCATTACYTTTAGCCCAGCCTTACCATGTCAACTCGTACAATTTACAAATATCTTAAAGCAATTCCACGATCATTAATTCGATCCTGTGGCTCGTTATCCAATGGACAAGCCAAGGCATTTAAAGCTGTAGCCGACGAAAGAAGTCTTTCTGTACACTGGGAAGATGGTCATG